CGCGTCAGAAACTTTGTATTTTACTTCCTTTTTAAGGCAATACTCTGTAAATAAGCCAGTTACTTAGTAGTTGTCTCCAACTTGCAAATAATCGATTGTTTAAATAAGTATTTCAAAAGACAAAACACTTGTTGGAATAGTTTTCATTCTAGTATGTTATGGTAAACCCAGTAATTCAAAGTATTGAAAATTTGTAATTGATTTTTCGTTTCATACATAACGTGGTAAGAAATTGCAAAGATTTCCTCTCTTGAAATTTCTCCGTGGATAAAACCCATAGTCGTCTTTTATTTCAGTTTAACATGCACTATTACGCTAGTTATTACCTACAATGCCCTACAAGTTCCAATATAATTGTATAGTGAAGCATCAATCCAGACAAAATGTACAATTATGTTTACAAAATTGAGTAAAAACTTATAAAATTTGGAGGACGTCTGCATGCAATCGAACATTTTCCAATTTAACGAGCGTAAGCTAAGGAAGTATTGTAATCGAGTCCATTCACGTTTCACGACCCCTAGAGTACGAAAAAATATGTCTCCCGTTTCCGTCTGTCCGTCTGTCTGTCTCTGTTTGTCCGGATTTTTATTAGACTCATTCTGCGTAACTAATGGACTGATTGTTGTCAATTTTTTTAGAAATATTAGAACTATAGATGGTAAAACGCTAACCAAAATTTGGCTAACTATCCCCACCAAGGTAGGATGACGGCATGTCCAAAATTTATATTGCGACGAAATTCCGGAGGGGACGGACGGTCCGGTGACGGTCCGGAATCTCGCCGATAACGTATGGGGTGGCGGCGTACTTGGGTGCCAAGCTTTGGGTCGACTAGTATCGCTGATGTCAGAAACACGTCTGGTCGACCGAGCTTATGCGGCTACCTTCACGCCGCCGGGGGTGGCGCCTTCAGTCAGGAGCGGCGGTCGGCCAGCTCCCTCTCCGGGGGAGGGAGCGCCGGGGTGCTCTAAAGCCGGAGACACGGAATTCAGGTGGTGAGCCTCCCCGAAAACAAGAGAATAAGAAATAAAACGGCAAGGATATTTTATAACAAAAATAGGATTTATTCCCTGCCACCAGATATACGGTCTAAAATAATTATCTCACGGCTAAGTCTTAATTAACTACAAGTTTAAACAAACAAAAAGAATTAAATGCCCGGCACGGTCGTTCCTCCTGGGCGGCGACTTCCCTCAGGCCGGGCTCCTCCTGGCTCTGGGGGCGGCGACCTTGAACCTGGAAATCGCGCGAAGACGGCACGGCGACCCGGGAGGAGAGCGCGGTGACGGTAACGACGCGTGCACGACCGTTACGACTTGTGACGGTGACAAAAAAAACGCGGTGACGGTGACACTGTTTCTCGCTCGGGGGCGGCGATTCGAAAACCGGTACTAACACGGGCAGACGACCCAAAAAGTACTTACGGTGGGTCGGAGGGTCAACTGCAGACTTCTCAAACGAAACTTCTCCACACAAAACAGCAGCCACAGACTTCCGCACTCTTTGGAGTTTCAGGTAAGAATCTCCTTCTTCCGCCGCGGCGGCGCGGCGATCGCGAATTTACCCCCGACTCTCGCGGTACGCGGCACGGTTTCCGGCCCGCGAAAATTCGCTTTGTTACAATATTAGTAAATATTATTTAAATTTTATAACACGAAATACTCCTGTCAATGTTGTTTACGAATCCGTGTTGAGTTTTTACACTCGACATCCAGATTTTTGGAAAAAAATCAAAATGTTGCAATTTAACTTTAAAACTACAAAACCGAATGCTCTGAAATCTTGCACACGTTTTAACGTTATCATGGGCATGGTAAATCCTTAATCAAAATTTTGGCGTTTATGTTTCCTTTAAAAATGATGACGTCATTTTCATTTTATAATATTTCCAAATAAATGTTCTCTAAATTTTACACAGTTACAAACTCCTGCATGTGTGATTTAAGAATCCGATCTTTGACAAAAAATTCCAAATTTTATTTTACAGTTTAAATCGAACGCTATGAAATTTTGCAAACATGTTAAGGTTATAGCAAGCATAGTAAATTATTAATCAAAATTTGTCCGTCATCATACAATGCCGAATTCCTCAAACTTAGTACTATGAGTGTCTTTGGGGTGAAAACTGAGTGTGATTAATTAATTAATAAGTCCTGTCCTATGTGCTGAGGAGACAAAATCACTCAAATTTAGTTTTCTTTTAACCGCTGATGTTTGTAATATGAACGTGCTAATAGTCGAAGTCCTTCGAAATATAAACATAAACAGTCGAAGTTAGGCATGTACTGAGAAATTCAGAACATCTACATTTTTCCCGTTGGTTGTATATTTGAAATATATTTCATATTGCCCACACTTGTGGACAATATGTTTGACATTTGGGCCCTCACGGTGCACGGGCTGCGGGAGTGTTAGTGACGCCAATGGTTTTTACTTTACAGGGGTTATCACAAAACGAAAATCACAAAATCAAATTTTATAACTTTTTAAACAAAAAATAAGGATTTAAAAATTATTCTCTAGATTTGTGGTTACTAAATGTAACATTAACGAATATGTAGATCCTTTAAACAAGCAGTTCTATAGTATACATTCGCTCGCGAAGAAAAGCAGTTGTTGTACCATTGCATTTTGCTACATCCCCACACAATTCCATCTTGCATGTCTGCAGCAGAACGTGACAAATCTTTTGGTCAACAGACCTCTCAGATTTCTTCTAACGAAAAAATGTCACTAAAAGTTCAGCAAGGTGTATTTATTTCGAGAAACGTTGTAAATAAGTGAAGCCATTTAAAACCTCCGACAGAAAAAGAAATGAACCCTTGGAATTGGTGAAGATTCGTTGCGACGGTCGATGCGCTGTACCGGCCTTCGCGTGAAGCGAGCCGATTTCTACACCAACTGTGTCAGAAATTGATGATCTTGAAATGACTGAAGCAATTGTCATCAAACATAGCTAAGAACCATTCTGATTAAACAAGCTTTCAAACAAAAAAAAAAGACGCATTGATATCGGTACATTCCTTCGGGAGCTACAGTGTCACCGACACACACAAAAAGACAAAGAGGTCAAAGTTACAATATTCCTTTTTATAGCATTCCTCTTTTTGAATCGGGGGTTTTTAATCCATATTTTACATGGATTATTAGATTAGATTTAAAAATGTAAAGAAAAACAAAATAAAAGTCGAAGAATTATTAGATCCACAAGGTTAGACAACCATCATCAGGAATTTAAACCAAACTAGAAATGTGTAAATTTTAAAAATAAAGTTGTGGTTAATTTTTTTTTAAATCATCGCAAAATTGACGACGATTGCTTAAATTTAAAGAGCCCTTTCAAAAATTGTCATTTGTAGAAGATTTAGAGTAGGCAGAAACAAATAAAATTCAATAAACGTCGTACTTCATTCCTTTCTATTCACTCATACCGCAAGGAGGAAGGGACGTGATCAAGTCATTAGATGTAGCGCATAATCAGTGTTAATCTTTAAAGATCCTAATGACACTTCAGAAGAACAAATTATATTTCAATCATTGTCGAAGGTATTTCCATAATTTTTGCATCAAAAACATTCCATACCCATCATTTCTGCTCATTTTACATGAATTGAAATTATCACATATGTTACAAAATGCAATAAACGGAATGACAGAAACCCACACTTCAATAAAAGTTGAATTAAGATCTTACCACATCATAAGTAAGGTTTAGGTAATAAAATAGATGCGGAAGAAATAAATAATTACATATTTACTTTTTAGTTTGATTTCACAAATTTGACTTTTTCGCAAACCCCATACTAAGCTCAAAAAATTAAGCAGTTTTATTACAGCATATTATCTACATTTGACAAAACACAAAACCTTTGCTTTTCAGATAGGTTTAACATATTTTTATAACTGTAAACATATTAAAGCACTGGCGGCAACCTGTATTAAATTATTTTTTTTTTATAACTCTCTAAAGAAATTATTTATCTTTCTCTGTGATGAAGTTCTAATCCCATTTGATAAACTAGGCGAATTTATTTTTTATATTTGTCTGGTTTGCTGGATGGGGTAATACATAGAACATACATTTTTGCAAATCCTATAAATTAACGTGTAATACTCAATCTTATGGATCCAATTTTTTTTGTTATACTTGTGGTCTTATTAGCCAAGATGAATGAATAAGAAACTATATCTACGTGATATTAAATGAAATGTTATCCTGTTCGTTCCAAGTGAGATTTGCTTACTCAGTTTGAAGTAATATGGTACAATGACCACAGAAAAATTTTACTTAGTTAATGTTAATAAATCAGCCTGGTAAATTATTTGTCTCATAAATAAAACCACCAACCAACTACAAGCAAACAAATGCGAATCAAAAACTTCTCCTTTCCTATCCTATAAGCATTGAAATATCAAAAAAACATCAAATCAGAAATTCATCAAAATAACCTCAACATAATCTTTTAAAACAATCCCCTTAAAAAAGACAAAAAACGCATGTTGCTTATATCATGTTGTTTTATTGCGTAGACTAATTTTCCCTACACTTACTTCATACTTGCGCAACCACTCAAAAAGGTACTATTATGATAATTCAAGAACTCAATAGGAAATCGTGTCTGCAACGGTTACACCTTTCGTATTATGATGTTATTTGAGAAATCATATAATCAAGAGATCACAACATTTCGCCCCGGATTTTATCATGCATTAAATTACTCATGCACTTCATCTCTTACAAAGTGCTCCGGTAATTCGTCTCATCCTTCAACTTCATTCATTAGCGTCGCATCTGTGAATTAACACGACTTTCTCTTGTACTCATACGTGCTTCGCCACGAAATAAATCATCATCGGCATCGCTTTCCAATCGCGATTTTCGGGTGGTACCTCCGGGGTTGCAAAAATTACACACGTAGAAGACCGGAGAGAGTACCCGCGAGATCCCAATGTCATCGAGAAAGCCACCTTCTCGGAGGAGACTGCAGCGATCGCACAAGTAGCACAGCCCGTAGTCTTGGACTGACCGCCGAGTCCGTCGTACAGTTAGTCGGTACCACTCGATGCCGTTAATTGACGTACCATCATCGGTACCGTGTGTTGGTGTTGGTGCGAAACTTAATATCTACAAGTGATTAGTTTTGGGTGGTTGCGATTAAGGAAAACGCGTCTTGCAGATGTTCCAAAGCGGTACCCGATCGGTCCAACCGTATCGTTTCCATGGATGGTACTAATTGAAACGAGTGCGACCTCACACGAAGACTTGTAAGCGATTTTGTTGTTTTGTGTAGAAAACAATAATTTTAGTGGATTGTTGACTTAACTATATCAGCATCCGGCTGCACCTCGTGGTACCTTGAAATGTTAGTGATCCTCCTAGGCTAGAAATTCAATTAAAATGTTCGCGAGTTTCACTCGAGCATAAATCAGTGGAGACAGTTTCAAATATTGTGACTTTCTTGCAGTGTATAAACTTTAAACTATACTACTGTAGGCGGAAGTACCTTTTTTCTACTAGGTGCTGGTCAGAGACAGGACATTTATAACCAGGTAACCTTCAGTGCATGTTTTAAAATGTCAAAATACTCCGACGCTAACGTAAATTTTACGTAATGTATATCACCATCACTATGTTGAATAACGTTGATTGCAATTTAGATTTGTCTTTACGGTCCGGAATTCATAAAAAGTTGTATAATACGGTTTATGAAATTTAATTATTTCCGGTTTGATGCTTTTAATTTAAAATGAAATTGTCAATAAGGCGTTTCCGCGAAACATAGAAAGGTTAGATTCACACGCTCGTAACGACGTTTGAACGAATTAGCGAAAAAAAATCTTAATAAAACCTTGGGAAATTTTCAAGTGATTAAAGCAAAATAAATATTTAAGAATTCCTTAATATGAAAATTAAATTCTTCAAGACCAGCAGAATTAATAAGTTAAATAAAAGACGCTTTCAAACATATTTTAATGGAAATTACGATAAAAATTAGAAACCAAGAAGTGGTTTTAACGTATCGTTCTTTATAAAGCTGTGATATCATATGTTAATTTTATTACATCTACTTGATGATTCCAAATCTATTTTAACTAAAGATAAGTTTGTATGTGTTATGTTATCTTTTATTACACTCACTTTCATCGTTACATCAGAAACACATTTCAGGTTACATATGTGTCTGTTCTATATAATAAAGTAAAAGTAATTTTATTATTTTTTAATTCAACAAATATAAAAAAATTAAGATAAAAAAATGTCATATTTGTCAAGAAACTGCGGGTTTAAGTTTATAACCTCGAGCGAAAATCTGGAACTCACTACGAATCTAACAGTTTTCAGATGTAATTTTAGTAATTATTAGTTACAGCAGAATTCGTAAAATTAAAAAAAAAAAAATACGGAAAATTTAATCTTCTCGTGCCGTTATACTAATTTGAAACTACACACTAAATCGCATAAATTAGAGAAATCAACAAGCGCTAATCGTTTTTATGTATTTCAAACAAATTTGCATATCGGCTTCAGATTTTAGATATAAGTATTAAAATTTTCTAATTAATTAGTTTTCGCGATTTCACTAAAAATAGATGATAATCGCAAATTTGATCAAAATATAGAACGTGCAAAAAGTATAGTGACAGGATACATCTAGATAAAGTTTCTCTAGTCGCTTTTAAGTAGTCAATTTACATAAATGTAACTTTTTCTTGACACTTAATAGCAAAAATCTGAATCATTTCATAAATTATCTGCGAATTTTCACTAATTAGCAATTACATCTAGTTTTTATAAAACAAATTTTAAGCTGCAATTTAAAATTACATCTAATGATATTTGCATAAAATACTTTTAATAGCCGGTATGATCGTACATCCTCATTCGAGGATTAAATTTATACCTAGGTTTGAATTAATATTATTGGTACAAATGTGTGTTATTTTTAGTAATTTAAGTCTAGATGAATTTTGGTTGAGCTGCATATTTCAACAGACAATAGTTAGTTAAATTTAACCTCTGGTGAAATATGACACGTCCCCGGTTTCCTCAATAAATGTACATTTGCGTAGAATTATAACAGAACTAATCTATACAATGCTGACAGGATTACTAATAGCATAAATTATAAGCAGGTGCTGGCTAGACATAGGACCGCTATTGTATCAACAAAATCTGTTCATTAAAGTTGCATTAATTGACAAACGGTTTAGAATGCTGCTTACCCGCCTATTTTCAACTATATATGAATTTTAGATAATGTAATAAGCAGTGGTTAATCTTCCTGAAAGTATTAAATACCGATAATAAGCTAATCAATGGCAGGTAATAAAGTTGTTAAAAACGAATAAACAAGAAGGAAATTTCACTGCCATTAATTTTTTTGCAGATTCTGTAGCGGTTACATTTACGTTCGATTCCTAATTAATTTTTTCTTGTCGATTTCTTTATATTAAATCAAATTAATTGGAAGTGAATTAATGAAAGACAAAATTATTTTCAAACTGTTTAAAAATGAAGAAAATACATATACTATTCCGTCCGTGACCACTGCACCTACTGCATATACCTTATTGAATTTTTTAATAATGCTTTTAATCTTTGAATCTTTTAATCTTCAAAAAACTTTTGATACCAGTATTATGTAGAACTATTTTTCACACCATGATGATCTCTAGTGACAAGCGTGATGATGTTTCCTATTCAATGGTGTTCCTTTGTCTATAAATTATGTTACATCAGATCTGATTATAGATATTAAATTTTTTTATCCCGAATCTTGTTTGCCGAATTACTGGTTCATCTATGAATAATAAATAAGAACTAATAATTATTATTATTTTTATTTATCTACTAACAAGAGTTTTATAACTGAAATAGACTAAAATTCAACACTCTGGTGCTCTTCAAATCTCAGATCGGGCCATGTGGAATCCCACAACTCACCTTTTGAAATACGAAAATCTGTTTTTGCCATTTTAATATCGAATTTTGGTACACCGAATTCCATTATTCAGAATGTTTACTACCTGATCTTCATAAATGTATCCTTAAAATCTATACAGTCAAATTATTGAACCGCGCTATACGCAATCTGAGTAAAAATCTGACATCTCAAATTTTAAAGCAAAGTACGAAAGAAGTGGACATGAATGTTACCAGGTCAAGAATGGTGAAATAAATTCTGAAAAATGATTCAAAACAAAATAAGCATCAACATAAGTTTCCTCATTTTATTTAACAGATATTTAAAAGAAATGCAGGTCAACCTCAAGGCTTTTATGATGCAACGGTTATTTTGTGTCAAATCAGTGTCTAATCTATCGTAGGCTACTAATTAAACTGTGTAATTATGTTGATTCCAAAGTGGTCATTAATTTGACAATAATACTTTAACGAACGTTTGATCATTGAACCTTCTGTCATTTTATACCAAACAAACTAAAGGTATTGTAAATAAAAGATGCATTACGGGACTAACATCTTAGTAAGGAATAATACACTTACACTAAAAAATACTGCAGAGGCGATTACAGTTTGTACATTTTTGAACTTGAATAAGTAACAATTACTTAAGTAAGTTTTTGTCTAAATTTAAAATATTCTTAGACTTCCTGTCGTAAACTTAAAAAATTTTTGTGGGAACAATTTAAAAAAGCGATTTAACAATGCTCTGTCGTCAGTTTTTTTAACAGTTCCATCCTTTTCTAATGTTACTAATTTTGTGACCTTGATGTGGTGCACAACGGTGACTAATTCTACTCGTTGCAAACATAAAGCTTTATCCTAACTTGTGTCAAGATAAAGAAACTACTTGCAACAGCGAAACTTACACAAGGACTGAATAATAGAAAGAATGTGAACATGACTTTCACACACAGTTATAAATTTTAAAATCACAATTAGACCTAAATTTGACTCTGGTAATAAATTTATGATACCTTTAGATAAAAAGATTTGTAAAAAAATTATTAAGCACATTAAACGAAATGCTCGAAATATCTTGAACAGAATGCGGTTTGCTGGTATTTATTAAATACGACATTGCTTTGGGATTACTAAGATTGTTTTTATAACACTAACGTTTGAAGTTATTTTTGCTTTGTGTATTGCCTGTTTGGATTTTAGTTTATATTTATCATACAAATTCTTAACTTTCAAAGTTCCGTATAGTTTGTAAGAATCGTAAGATAAACAATAAAGGTGGATTCATAAACCACAAATACATGTTATTTTATAAAACATAAGTAAAACATTCTGAGATGACGTCATTAATAGATTTCGCTAGAACAGGATTCAGGATAACAGAATTAAGATCATAACAATTAACTTCGAGATTATACAATTTAAAATAACAACGAAAAATAAATTCGTCAAACAAACAATAAAATTAGAAAAAAAACTCAGAACTTATTATTTTCACGAAAAAAAAGCACAAAACCAGAACTATCAAACATGTATAACGAAGCCTAATTAATAAATTAAAAATATTAATTTATTATTATTATTTTTTCTAATAAATTCTCAGACAAAGTAATCGTACCGGCAGCAGTCGATCGCTATCGCGCTCATTCGTATCCTCGACGGTCGCCCCCTGATTAGAAAGGCTACCCGTTCAATGTCTAATAGCAACATTTATAAATTTCCAGCAAAGTCTCCTGCCACAATGGACCAAGTCGGCATAGCACCTCCGCCGCTGCCGCCGAAGACCCGTCGGTCCCCTCCAGCCTCCTCGGCAACGGTACAACCCAGTGACGTGTTCTCAACGTTCCCCGAGCAAGTCGGCACCGACCATTCTCCAAGTCACGTCGTCAAAATCCGCATCAACCCTGACGAGAACGTGATATGCGACGTGGCGCCCTGCATCCGCATCAGCGTCAACTCGGAGATGATCCCCAACAACGGAATGGTCGACGCCTCCCCCGACCGCTCCGCCGCGTACTTCTTCTACAACTGTGGGGTCATGTCTAGCGGCCAGATCTCGCCCAGCGACACCCTGGACTCGGGCACCTGCAGCGACCTGGACGGCACGCCGCCCCCGCTGCCCAAGAAGAAGAACACCTCGGTGACGCTGATCCAGCACAAGCGCGCCTCCAGCCTCACCGACAGCGACGACAACGAGAGCAACATCAGCTGCGACTCCCTCACAAGCGGCAAGATGTCGCCGGTGAACAAGGAAATCAAGGCGTCCAATCTGCCGCAGACGCTGCTCCAGGACATCAGGCAGCGCAAGAACAGCGTCATCGTCAAGTCGTACGAGGAGCGTAAGGAGGAGGAGGAGGAGAAGAGTGCCAATAGTTTGTCGTTCGACACCGATATGTTTTACAAGTTTCATTTGAATGAACATTTAAGTGAGGACAATGAAGCGCCCCCTAAAAACGTGGTGGAAGACGAGACTTTTGCTGGGTATAAGGACATTTTGGGGGACAGTGCCGCGACCATACGCAGCGCGAAAGGGACGGTGAGGGGGGTCAAAAACCGGGTCAGAGCAGGAATAGCTACTTTCCTACAAATCAACTCGGTTTCGAAGGTAAGGACACCAACTTCATTTTTCTCATTAGATCGGCCTTTTGCTTTTTTTTCGAAGTGTAGAGGTATTAAAAAGAGCGTGTCGAAACCCGGAGCTAACAGTGTCACTATTTAATGAAATACCAAACAAGTCATTAGAGATGCGGTTCACGTTACTCAGATGTTTGAATCAGTTATGTAACAGCTGGTATATGAGCGCTTTCTTGATTTTTTTTTTTTGATTACATGCATACTTAATACCAGTTTTCTGTATCATCAGCAATGCGGAATATGAGAGTTAATTCTAGGCTGGACAAAAATTAGTCGTTGGTATGTCTGTACCAAAAAAAGTTCATGGTCAAGTAAGTCACCTCTGGTAAATATCATTTTAAATTATTATCATCAACAGACTAGCTGACAAGTCATTACGAAAATAATTACTGTAATAATTAAAAAAATGTCTAATCAAGCCTGTTTGCGTACCTACCTGTTATCGCTAATAGTTAAAACAAAGTGCGAAGTCTGCTAGGTCAAACGCAGAACATCCAGGAATTTACCACGTAGAAACTAAAATATTCCAAAGCTAATTTATTAACTCCGGTTTTATTCAAATGGTTCTAATTTATTGCAGCGTTTTTTATCAATTGCCAAATGCAAATTTTATTTCTGTTTTTTTTGTCAATTGCCAAATGCAAATTGTATATTTGTTCACGTAAATGTTGTTATATTATTTTTGATGCGGTGCGTTCTTTTAAAATAATGGTAGGTTGTACATTACAACAGTTCTAACAGTGTATGTACAGAAACACCTATGTTACAATTTTGGTCATACTCGCAGATATTACGTACCTTCAATTTTTTAACAAAGTAAAATTTAAAAGTTTACATACATTCGTGCATTTGGATCCCATTTGAGGCAAACATAGAACTTGTATCCTTTAAAATTTAACGAATATAGCAAATTTCTGGGATAAGTTCATGAAATATTTTGTGCTGACTGATATTCTATGTTTGATCTGTGCAACAAATACTGATCATAACGATAACTCGGCTGGATACATTGTGAAAAAAATTGTTTATTTGTGTAACATTTATATTGATAGTGTGTAAGAACTTTTAAAATTCTTCACACAAAAAATACTAATAATATTTTGTAATCTTCAATTTGTTATTTTTATCAGAACTTATACAAATCTACTTAAAATAATTGGTTTGTTAAACTAAATAAGGGAGAAATGACGTCATCAGTTTTTAGAATTGATGAAAAGTTAGCGATTTTTCATTTGAAATTTAAACATTCGTCAAATGATCACACTTCTTCATTTCCTTAGCTATCTCTCGGAAGTAAAAATCACCTGTTATCCTGGATTTTAGCAGATCGTTACGATTTTAATTCAGTTCAGTGAAGCAACAAAGCCTAAGTTGAATTAAGAGCTAAATTATTCTACAAAATTATTCATTCCTACCGGACTGATTTTAACCACATTCGTAGCCCTAATTGCCACTTTAAAATTTTAAAAATGGTTTGACAAATTGCTATTGATACGATAAAAGGGTTCGGAATGCAGTGGAGGCAGCGGAAGATGATTTAAAATTTCGTTTAAAAATTACGCCTTTATGAAACGGTTCATGGATAAAGAAATCCAACTGTTTAATATTTAAAAAAAGAGCGAAAGTGAATCAGTACTATTTTCCGTCGTACGCTAAGTCATAGGCCAGCCGCTGTAAATGTCTTCAAGTACAATTTAAGCGTGTAAAAGTTCAAGTTAAACTAGGCAAATTTAGTCTCGGTTCAACTGCTGATAGCAATGAAGCGTTATTTGCCGCAATTGTACTGTGTACTCTGCTTATTAAAGCCTGATTCTCTGTCAATTTAGGCACTGTATGTTGCAATTAGAGTATTTTATTGACCACTTTGTAATAAGCGTTTACGGTGTAATAGACGTCAGTTAAGTGAAATAATAATTATTGATTATTTATTCCATATGTTTATACAAACAGTAATACCAATTAATTAACTAGAATAACTATCCTACACTCACCGTTTCGCAATATTTGGGTTTTTAAATATTCTAATTGTAAGTACTTTTACTTGTTTATTAACACTTATGATTGTTAATGAGAAACTAGAAAGGTATTTTTTCTAAGTGAAGTTGAAGCTAACTGTTTAAGTATTTATAAAGAAATTTATGCTAACTACGATTGTAGTGGTACTCCTTGATGTTATAAAGTAACTTGACATGTGACTGCATTGCAGCGTAATTAATGGTCATAATAATAACATATAATTGGATATGTTGATTTTCATGAACTAGAAAAATGTTTTCCACAAGTGCAGGTTCGTTTTCACCTATCCCAGGTAATGAACCTTGGTACCTAGTGCGAGCCGGAGGCGAGCATTGAATGACAAACAAGGCAAGAATACCATATTTCGAAATAATTTGTTTAGATTTCATGTGTGGCACGTATGATTTGCAACGCTCGCCTTCGGCCCGCACTACTTGTTATAGATTCATGTTTCCCTCCCGAAATAACCGGAAATTTCAAATCTTAGTTTTTAGTTGTTCTGAATTATAGGTGTGTAGCTTACGAAAATAAACACAAATAAAAAAATTTTAGCCTTCAAAAATTTACCCTAGTTATATATTTTGTGATTCAGAAATTACTAACATTATTTCCTTGTTAAAAAGTAGCTTTTAATTTGTACGTAATGTTGCCAATAATTTAGGATCAATGATTTTGCACATCAGCAGCATGGAATTATTTTTTTCAATAATTACATTTGGAACGCTTTTAAATTAAATTATTACCAACAATTTACATCTATAACAACGTTACACATTTAAACATGTATTTGGTTGTTTATTAATAAATGTGGTATTTGCAAGAATAGTTCGGGGGGTGCGGTTGCAATATTCTCGATTTTCATTTGAAAATGTTGATTTAGGAGTGATGATACAGTTCCTGGCAATAGTGTTTCTAGTTTTTGTTAGAATTTACCCTAGAAACTTAGTGTGAGGAATATTTTCAAAGACGTAAGGATATTGTTTAAAAACGATTTTTAAACAACAAAGTTTCTAAAATACTTTTTTTATCTATTAAGTATTTCCATTTACAAATTATACCCGTCGTAAATGTAGATTTAAATTTAATCTCGTGCTAGTGCCAAATAGGCCTAATAATTTATTCGTTCTTTACAGCCTCTCTTGAAACACTTAACTGAAAAGACCTTATTTACTTCATTTTACAACGTTTCTCCCCCTTTTCAGTGCGTTTATTGTGGTTTTATTAATCTTGCACATCACGTACCATTTTACATTTAAAGCAAATTAAAAATTAGTGTCTAATATTTGTTGATGCTTTAAGAGTATTTTCTTGGAATGTGATTTGTTGTACCTGTTTTTGTCGCTGGATGAAATCAACACGTTTCTATTGATAAATCCGTTAATTAAATCAAGTATCTGCACGTTTTTGTTACAAGATTAGATCATAGAATTAAAAAGTACTAACTTGGAATGCAAAACTTAGATCACCACTTTTTGTTCAATGTTTTTTTGAGAGTCTACTTTGAAAAGTTAACTTCAATTAAATAATTTTTCTTTACTTTTAACTTCCATGTTGTTTATCTCTAAAACATTCTGCTGTAAATGACAAAGGTCATAATATCGTCATTTAAATATTTATCAGATCAGTCACCATTGGTGAAAAAAGGGTGCTACCATACAACTTCAATAAAGAATTCGATATAAAAAGCTGTGTTTAAATCTAGTTCTAATTTGAAAATTCGATAATATAAATAAAGACGTTACAAAACTCTACACATAGAAACAAAGCTGTAATTTAAGGTTATCAAATTAACTAATTTCTTCAAGATCTGCTTTTATTAATTTAATTTATCGAGCAATCTGACAGTTACAATTAACCTTAAATTAAATTATGGCACGCTAGTTTGCACTGCCTATATTTTTGGTTGTAGCATTACCGTTTCAACACGTTTATAATTTAATATTCAGTATCTTACTGACCGAATAACGTGCTCAAATTAGCTAAATATGTAATTCCCACGGGTAGCGTTATTCCGTCCTATCTAAATATAGATTGTACATGAATGAACTATAATCTGTAACTCTTCATATCTTGATCTCGATTAGTGATACAACAGTTGTTTATATTTTACGTTCGAGTGAGATAACCGTGACACAGTTTGGCATCCGTAAAATTTCACAAAGAATTTTAAACTTTAACAAATAAAACCGATATTACATAAATCGTTTTCATAATGATTAACGAACAAATGGAATCCCTTTACTACTAAATGCACGTGGGTTGTTTTATCAGCTAATTTAACATTCAGCAAAGCGCAATTTTATTTGAAAAAAATTTTTTACACATGAGTAGTCCAATCACAACTAGCACATAATCCTCCCACATCTATTAGATAGCAATTACGATTGGAGTCGTTTATTAATACGATAACTGTAGATAACATTGATCAAAGATTAACATTAACATTCCGATTAATTTCACAAGCGTACTACATCATCAAAATACTGAAGCTTTGAGTCAGATTGTGTCAGCATAAAGTGCCTGGCAATGTTTGCCCTCCAGCCACATATTTTAAGCCGTAGAGGTTCGATCCGAGGTTATAAAAATCGGGTCCATCAAACCATCGCTTTCTACATGGATCTGCCCAATTTTCAGGTAAGGTTAGGTTCTAATCCGTAAACAAACGAAAATTGGCATTTAACCGAGGTCACATCAAACGAGACCTCTTTTCACCACAGCATTTATCACAGTTATGTGAATTAATTACGAGTGGCGGATTTTCATGCATCTAATTGATTGATGTTGAAAAAATGATTTATGGACGACAAACGCGGCAAACAATGAAGGCGTAGACATCTCTTCGAAATTTCCTGCTGGTATATATAGCCTCCAGATGGCAGATAATGTGAAATGCCAAGAACATAATGACATTGTGAGCGCGAAACCGATTGACATTTCGTTCTTGTGGTTCCGATC